ACCAGAGAACATAACACAACATTGGCCCTAGTCTCTTTGCAAAAGACCCTGATAATGATACTCAAGGGTTCTCTGGATGTCCAAGATCATGTGCTGAGAACATTGTCTTGGAAAAGGAAACAATAAAATTTCCTGTAGATGAAAAACTGAAGTCGGGGTCCTGAAGTCAGATTCCAGCCCAAACAAGGTTTGAGTTTGGGCTGGTGTGTAGGTGGAAATCCTCATCTAGTTCTGCAACAGATGGGGAGTTGGGGAGGAAGTTTGAGGAATGGGTGGGGACAACAGAGCACAACTTATTACCAGAGGGAGCTGGCAATGATTTCAAATCAGTGCCGTCTCCTGAATTGATAAGAATTTCATCAAGGCCATTAATTAGCTGCTAACCATATGCTTCTTGTCTTTGAATGTGCCACCTAATTCAACATGAAAATGATGACTAAATTACTGGTCCTGGAACTAAACTTCCATACCTGGACCATTTTATTCATAGTCGCCTCTCCAATTCATAGGACATTGAGGGATGTGAAGAAACTTGTCCTGGACCAATGATGAGACAGCTCTGTCCACAGTCCATTCACCCACACGAAGAAAAGACCGAATAATTAGGGAATCTACATCTATAAATTTGGAGAGATTTTTTCTAGTTTAAATCAAACAATACCTTAAAGACATCCCTAAATTTTTCATCTGTGTCTATATAGGTCAACAAAAGTAAGGAGTTGAACTCAAAAGATCTAGCCAGAGTTAATACTTGGAGTGCGGGTGAATTTCCCGCCAAAATATAAGATGGCTCTGTCTTTTGGTTTTGTTCCATCCACCAAAAGGGTGGATTACAAACAAATATTTGGTAATACGCAGTTACAATCGGCCCGAGTTTACACGTTTCCCGCACTCCACCGCAAATCTATATGAACCGAGTTAAAGACGGCTCCCGCGGAGTACGCGCAATTCACGCGAGCCGACTTAACTCGTTTCCCGCACTCCAAGTGTTAATAAGAAACTTTCATTTCTTTACTATAATAAAAGGTTTTTAGATGTATGTAACGTTAGTATCTTGTCCTCTATCCAAAGTCATATTTTGATACTGAAATATTATTTAAAATTGCATTGTTTCTTTCAGCAGCATCCATAAAGTGCTTATAAAACCAGGTGCCTGCAAGAAGACAAAGCAGTTGGACACCTCATACTACCCATGGAAGTGCAAAATGATTCAGGGCTCATGTTTTGTGGGGGACAAAGAGAGTATGGCTCACGATTTACACTACAGCACTGAGAAGCTCGTGTTTCTATCAGGCAGGGTTCTGAGCTGCAGACAACAGAATCCACTCTAACTAGTTTAAGTAGAAAAGGTTCATTCCACTAGGTATCTCACAAAATTCCCAGTTACAGGAACCAAGCCTGGGGGGTGAGGGGGGTGCTACATGGCCAGAAGCAATGCAGCCAGGAGATATGTCCAACTTCCTCACAGGAATGCTCTATCAGAACCCCACTGCGGCCACCACCCACAGCCTATGACTTCAGAAGATGGGACAGTAGAAGGTCCCATGCTGCCCCAGAAAAAGCAAGTACCACACAGCCACCCACCCAATTCCCATAGAGCCCCATCATCTTACCTGGTTCACTTCTGCCTCTCCTGCCTCACGTGGGGGTTCTACCTGGTGGAAGTCAATCCAGTGTGGCTCCCAGGCTGCACAGGGGTTTTAAAATGTTACTTTTATCTTTCCAGACTCGATGGAAATTTGTGCTGAGTGAGCCCCTATGTGGTAGCTACCATAGTATATTTTGGGAGTGAGAGCAGGTTGAGTCCATTGGATTTGGGTGAAGAATCCCTGCAGGATATTGGAAATGGTCAATACCAGAGACTGAGACAAAGGAGTCACCTGCAGGGAAGTGAGGACTGCTTTCAGCATAGGGGCCAACATGCCTCAGATACGATGTTGAGTATAAAACAGTAAATGACAGACTCTTTGGGAACACTTGCATTTAAGAAGTTAGTTCCAGCCCTAACTGGTTTGGCTCAGTGGATAGAGCATCGGCCTGAGGACTGGGGGGTCCCGGGTTCAATTCCGGTCAAGGGCATATACCTTGGTTGCGGGCACATCCTCAGTTGGGAGGTGTGCAGGAGGCACCTGATCGATGTTTCTCTCTCATCGATGTTTCTAACTCTCTATCCCTCTCCCTTACTCTCTGTAAAAAGTCTATAAAATATTTTTTTTTAAAAAGAAGTTAGGTCCAGTGGGACAAAAGTTCATCTAAGAATCCATTTTCACGAATGAGGGGGAAAGGGTTTTTAATGATTGTTTTAATTCTGGGGGGGAGCAGAGGCATTGAGATAGAATGATTTGTTCATACGTAAGTCATTATCAGGTGCCCACACCCCCATTTCAAAGAAGTTCCCACAAGAGTGGTTAGAAATCAGTAGACAACTGACATTTTTGCCTACCTAGCACCTCTCCCTCTTTTTGCACGTTTCTTCTGGAATACTATTCCATCCCCACTCCACGTGGCCCAATCCATCAAGGTGCCCCACTACCCACTTGGGCACTGGGAACATGCTTCAAATCAGCTCTCCAAGGAAACTGAATCCCCTCTCTCTCTCTCTCTCTCTCTCTCTCTCTCACATACACACACACACACACACACACACACACACACACACACACAAGGGCACCCACGCATCAGCTGGAACGGAGTCATTCCAGTGGTTAGTTCCTTACAAAGGGTGTCCAGCAATTCCCGCTTCAGAGATGCCTAGAGCTGCCCTCTTTCTATCACTTTTGAGGTCTCATTGTAAAATGCTTCCATCAAGTCTGAGCTTTTTGTTGCCCTTCTAAATATATGACTGTTCTGTTTAAGTTAACTGGAGTCTGTTTCTGTTGTTTGCCACCGAAGATCACTAGCTGATATGCAAGTGCTGTCACAGAGAGGCTTACTTTGTCCTATTAGGGGCATGGTTTGGTCAATCCTTGTTCACCAGATCATGGCGTATGGTAGATCATTATAATAATGGCCCCAGTGAGCACATTCCCCTTTGCAATGGGATATTGCTGTCCCTGCCTCAAAGCTCCATCCATGGAGTCTATTCTGCACTTCCCTGAAATCCGGGCTGGCTTTCTGACTTATTTTGACCAATAGAATATGGTGGATGTGAGGCTGTGTGGTTTCATGAGTTTAGGCTTGCAGCTCCCCCCTTCACCTTCTTGGACCCTGAGACTGCCATGCTGTGAGAAGGCCTGGGCTGGCCTACAGGAGGGTTAGGGGCCACTGGAGAAGAACCAAGGTGTCTCATCAACATCCAGACATGAGAGTTGGGGCATCTTGGGTTCTTCAGCCCCAGGCTAGTCATCAGCTGATCATCACCACATGCGTGAACCCAAGCAAGACTCCCAAAAAAACTGCCCAGATTTCTGACCCATAGAATTGTGAGAAATAATAAGTGATTATTATTTTAAGCCATTAAGGCTTTGTGTGGGGTTTTATGCTTTTAAAAAATGGTTTATTTTTGTACATTTTAAAATTGCAGTTTTTGTGACACAAGAAAAATATTTTTCTAATATCAAAATACACATCTCTTTGGTACAGGAACATACCATATGTATTATCTTTAACTTAAAATAATTAATCAAGAACTATGACCTAATGTGCTAAACAAAACTATTATTTGACTATTCATTTGTCCCCTTTCATAGGCCCATAGTGGAGCTTTTGAATATAATTCTGTACACATCTCCATATCTACAAAGAATTAAGATGCCATATCAAAGATGTCCAGAGTTATATAGTAGAAAATTAGTTGTCTTGACACAAACCAGAGAGAGGTTGTGGGTAGGGGGAGAGAGAAACATAAGATGCAAGACAAGGAAAAAAAGAATAGTATCAATAAGGTCAAATAATATGAAAACAATCACATCATTTAAATTTGATACATTAAAAACAAAGTAACTTCTTTAGAATTATTATATGTAGAATTTAGAATTGTTACTTACAAAGCTCCAAAAGTAGTAGTGCATACCTGTGATAAGGCACTTCAAAGAGAGCAGTCAAATATACAACATCTAATGCAAGAAGTATTTTCTGTAGAACCAGTCAACCTTCTAAACAAATAGGGAAAAAATATGCATTCTTTCCAGACATGCTTTCGTTTTCTGAAAAGCCTTTTTAAAAAGTGCCATAGAAAGGCAAAACATATTTATCATCTGTTTTAAAAAGCTTTCATCAGTTAAAGTTCAAATCTCCATTTTAAAAATAAGAATGTTTTCCTTCAACTCAATGAGGTTGACTCAAATATTTTTTAGAGAAACAATTTTAACCTTCATGCTAAAAACAGGAAGAAAAAATAGATTTAAATTATGTTGTCAACTATTTTATCTAACAAACTTTTAGTGATTGTGCAAGGTGCTAGGGATATGGAAGTAGATAGATATAATGGTTGGTTGGTCTTAGGGAACTTAGCCCAGTGGAACACGATCTAACATTGCTAACCTGCCAGCTATTCTCCGTGGTCCATAAAATGAAGCTCAACTTCAAACTCTTCCATGCTTGGCATCTTTTTGCAAATCAAATAGAATGATGTTCTACCTAGTTTGCTACTGGTAACTCCGTGATATTATTATCTACTGATAAAATTAACTTCCATAAAAGATTCTATGAAAGTTTAGACAGGAAGTATTTAAGATAAACAAATACTGGCCAGCATCAAAAATAACATCAGGCCTGGCCCGTGTGGCTCAGTGATTGAGCGTCACCTATAAACCAGGAGGTCAGGATTCAATTCTCTGGTCAGGGCACATGCCTGGGTTGTGAGCTCATCCCCAGTGGGGGGCATGCAGGAAGCAGCCAATGGATGATTCTCTCTCATCATTGATGTTTCTATCTCTCCCTCTCCCTTCCTCTCTGAAATCAATAGAAAAGAAAAACGTTTAAAAAAAATAACATCAGTATTCTGCTTTCACAAAAATGAAAAATAAAAACAAGAAAACTATCATTTTGAGTACACAGAACTACTGGAGATTATCCAATACATAAGGCACATGTGCAAATATCATAAGTGAAAAAGTATGAGTTATTCCACAGCTAAATCTGTAGTCGGGCTTCAAAGAATCATAGCCTTCTTTCAGGAGGTCCCACCATGTTTTCAGAAAACATGCATTTTCTGTACTTATAAAGGCAAACTCTTCTTCTTCAGCTGATACTGCAGGTGTAGCTTCAAGAAATTTGGTTCATGAAAGTGCTGGGTCTCCGATCTGCAGCTCCACTTTCTCCAGCGGGTCCACCATTTGACCACTGTTGCTGCTTGGAAGCAGCCAGTACAAACTCTGTGGGACGCCGGGGGAAGGTGTTGAAGAGGCCTCTGAAGTCAAGGGAGGCAGCAGAGCTGGGAAGAAACCCTCACATCCTCAGGGTCTGCCAGGGAGAATGAGCCACTAGGTTTTCAGTGGGTTTTTTCCAACACAATCGACAAGTGATCAATAAGGGAGGACAGGACCCTGCAACCACTGAAGCTCTGACATGATACCAGCAACATCATGTGGGGCTGGGCGAGGGAGTGTGTGTGGAAGGAAGACTCAAGATGAAGTGGACTCCAGCTGCACTTCCTTCTGGCATCTGCCACTGAAATAGGAGCGCCCCTGAGCTCCTGCCTCAGCCTGGGAGGCAGCAGAGCAGAAACCAGAGGCCTTGGCGATACCAGGAAGCATGAGACTTGAATTCCAGTTCTGTCTCTGCAGCTGCCTGGGTTGGAGAAGCCACTTAACCTCCCCAATTCCAGTTTCCTCGTCCGCAAAATGGGCATAATATACTGTCTGCCTACTTCACAAGTTTGTGAGTGTGAATGAGATAGTGCACAAGCTCTAAATAAACTTAAGGGCCCACTTGCTCTAGCCAGCTAGGCATGCAACATCCAGAAACCACTGGTCCTAATTAATTCTTAGAGTGTTAGTCACCGTAGGGACAATAGCCAACCACACCATTAGAGGTCTTCTGTTGATGTGTGGGAGGCCGATTCCATCTCTTGGAGATGATCCATGGCAAAATCATGACATTGTTGATATATATTTATAACCAGACTCTTCCCTTCCAATGTCTGAAAATTGTTTAATGTCCATATTGGTCTCACAGTCAACCTTGAAATTTCTTCCTATTTTGCTTCCTAAAACCAGGAGCAATGCTCTAGCCCATTGTTCATGAGATATTACTAAGGGTCACAAAATCTCTTCACTTAATTGCTAGCTGTGGCCTCTGTTATATTAATTTCTCTCTCTCTCTCCACCCCTCTATGACCTCTTTTTAGCTATTGACAGATATTTTCTTTTTCAATCCATTCTAAGATCTCTTCAGCCTCCTTTGAACATTGTCTTTTCCTGCTCCTGGCCTCATGGTTTCATTACCCTGATGGGAGCCCGATCTCCTTTAAGAACCAGCAAATGGCCATACCATATTCACATCCTTGTCCTTCCTCCTCAGCTTTTCTTTCTGCCCTACCCCAACACGATGTAGGGTACAAGCATCTAAAATTTTCAGAGTGTTCTGATGTGGTGTCCAGCTTGAGCACCCCTTTCAGTGAGGCTGGGTACAGACCAGATGTTTCGGCAGCTATATCACATTTGCAGCTCATTTGCAGCTTGAGGTGTGCTAAACCCCAAGTTCATTTTCGAAGAAACTCCTCTTTACCTAGGTCCTGTCTTGCTTAAATTTTGCAAGTTTTGTTTTACCCAAATAATCATTGGATTAGATTGAAAGTGGTCTCCAGATTCTGGCATTGCTCAGGGCTCTCTTGCCTTTCCACTTTACAAATCAGTCCACTTGATCAGCATGACTTTATCCAAGACATTGATGAATGAGCTGTCTGGAGCACAGACCCGTGGCATTCCCCTAGCAAATTCCTGTGCAGAATTTATCTTCCACAAATCTCCTGGCAGCAGGCCTATCCTCTATAATTTCTCAAACTTTAACAACAGCTCAAAGGTCAAAAAAAGCATCTTTATTTCTTGCATACCCTGTAATTGCATCTTAGGTTCCCCCTTCTATTCTTTCATTGTCTACATACATTTTTCTAGCCACTGTTCTGGAGAAGGCAGATACAACAGGAATTGAATGGTTCTGCCTCTTCTGGAGCCAGATGGCCTCATTCAAACCCTGGTTCCTTCCCTTAGTCGCTATGTACCCTTGGACAAGAGACCTAATGGCTCTGTGCCTCAGTGGCTCCTCTGTGAAGTGGGGATTCTAACAGTACTCTCCTCAGAGGGCTATTTTAAGTACTAAATGCCCGAGTACATGAGAACTGCTTAGAACAGCATCTGGCACACAAAGAGCACTATGGAGGCATCACCCATCGTCATCATCACCATTGTGATCATCATCACCATCATCATCACTGTCAGTCATTTTATCACCACCACCAAATTGTTGTTGATGTCACTATTACTATTATTTCGCAATTATCTCTCCAAGCAGTGGAGCTACCTCTTGCTTGTACTTTGTGTGTGTGTGGGGGGGGGGGGGGGGGGTGAATATATTTTAATTTTAGCTCTTTCTCCTATTCTTATATATGCACATAATGCTATAAATTTCCCTCTAAGCACTGCTTTTACTTCCTCCCATAAATTTTAATAAGCTACATGTTTATTTTCACTTAGTTCAAGATATTTTGAAATTCTTATCAAGACTTTGTTGATCCATGAATTATTTAAAAGTGTGTTGTTTATTCTCTAATTATTTGAGAGATTTCCCAAGTATTGTTATTATTGATTCCTAGTTTAATTCCACTGTGGTCTGAGATTGCTAGTCTTTTAAATTTGTTAAGGTGTGTTTCATGAGCCAGGATGTGGGCTATCTTGGTAAATGTTCCATGTGAGCTTGAGAAAAAACGTGTATTCTGCTTTGGTAGATGGAGTGTTCAGTAAATGTCAATTAGATCAAGTTGATTAACAGTGCTATTCAGGTCAACTTTATCCTTATTGATTTTCTGCCTGCTTGACCTATCAATTACTGACTGGGAGACGTTGAAGTCTCCAGCGACTATAGTGGATTTGTCTGTTTCTCTTTTTAGCTCTATCAGTTTTGCCTCATTTTGATGATCTGTTGTTACATGCATCTAATGTTATGTATTCTTAGAGAACTGACACATTTATCATTATACAGTGGCCCTCTTTATCCATATAATTCTCCTTGTTCGGATGTCTGCTTTGTTTGAAATTAATATAGCTACTTCAGCTTTCTTTGGATTAATGTTAGCATGGTTCATCTTTCTCCATCCCTTTACTTTTAACTCTTCAGAGTATTTATATTTAAAGTGGATTTCTTATAGAAAATATAGTAGTTTCCCTATACTTTTAAACTAATCTAAGTTCACCTTCAAATAACACTATACCACTTCGCATGTAGTGAAGGTAATATACAACAAAATATTTTCAATTCCTCCCTCCCAAGCCTTATGAATTACTAACATTCATTTCACTTATCCATGTGCTACAATCACCAAATGCATGGTTACTATTATTACCATTATTCTCTTAGAGACCTAAACAGAGTCTTTAGCTTTGTTTCTGATGCCAGAAGTCCTATTTTAGAGAGGATGGTGAGATGTAAACTCCCTCAAATAGCAAATTATTTCTAATCCTCTGAAAAGCATGCCTTAAACACCTTAAGAGCACTTAGGATGTAAAGCACTTTGCTGGGCTCCCTGGGCCATCAGACAATCACAGAACTCAGATGGCAGTCACTCTGACCCCCACATCTTACCGATGAGGAAACTGGCCCGTGATGGGGAAGTGTCTGCTAATGGGCTGTTCTGGAGAAAAAAGAAGCTACAGGAAGGCAGCCTGCTCTTAGACGGAGTCCTGTACTGAAGGATTAAAATGTAACAAGAAAGGACATTATTATTCAACAAAAATAAAATAAGGACAATAACTTGCAGAAAAGAGCAATAAACTAACTGAGGAGACAGTGAGTTTGTGGAACTGTGTTCCTTATGATCAAATCAATGAAATATCACATTCTCTGCCTACCAGTTGGCGCCCATCCAGTGAGGATGCAGCTTGATAGAGAAGATGCCTTCCTGAGGATCACCAACCATGTAGCAATCTATGCAGTGTCCACCCCAGAAGGTGTCTTTATTTGGCCTATGTTTTGCGTCACCAGAAGAGCTTGGTCTCCTGTAAAGTAAACCACGAAAGGCAAGATTAAACGTAGCCTGGTACCCAGTGTTATCAGACAATGTTCTGTTTAAAGTACTGGCCTGCAGTCTGCCAAGAAAAGCTATGCATGGTACGCTTCTTGTCTCCCACCGTCGTTCAAACAATATTCTAATGAACAATACACAGAAAGCTTTATAAACAAGCAGAAAGAGGAGTTGGAGATATTTGGAGGGGTGTAAAGACTGAGAGTTTTATACTCTGCAAGTAAAACTACATCTCAAATCCAATTTAGCCATTGGTCCCATAGGAAGAGTTAGAAATGACCTTCAGAAAGCTAGTGAGGGGGCGTGGGGGAGGGAAGAAATGAGCTGTCTGTTTGATGCAGCTGTGGATGTCATGGGCTATCGCCTGGAACTTGCATTTTTTTCTTTATTACCTTGCCCAGTGGTTAGATCTGACCCTCTTGAGGCAGTCATTAGCGTGCACACTGCTGCTTCTCTGTTCCTAGGTGTTGAAAGTGACCTTCAGGATGATAGAAAACCTTCCTTCAATCCAATGTTATGAAAGTAGCAAACATTTTCCAACATTTATCATGTTCCCTGCATGCTGTGAGGGAGGAAATTTTTTTAATTAATTAAAATTTTAAAAAATCTCCCCACACATAAGAAGGCTCAGAACTTCTGCTCAAACACTAATAGCTCCCAATATCACCATCCACTTTCTGAATGGTGTTGTTAGAAAGCTTTACCTTCTATCAAGCCAGCATCTGTGTTGTTGTTGTTGTTGTTGTTGTTGGCGGGGGGGTGGGGGGGGGCAGGGGGGGATAGGGATTGAAATTAACTTTATTATCAGTGATTGTCAGTTTTCAACCAGCAACAATTATCCATCTGGAGTTTCAAGGGTGGACTTGCCCCCTAGTCAGTGCTGTCTTCTTCAAGAATACACATTGTCTTGTCCTTCCTGTTGACTATCTGACCCTTAGCTGAGCAGGAAGGAAGACTACAGGATCTAAAGAGGGTGGCGAAAGCAGCAGGCCAGCAGGAATGGGAACTCAGCCATAATTCAGCAGAGTGCAGAGACCATCACTCTGTTTTCTTCTTGTACCAGTGAGAGCTTTATCAAGATACTGGGGCCTTCGGCTCCTGCCCGGGGACTCCAAAAGCACCCAAGGCACTAAGTCAGTGACAGAAAGGGCCTAAAAACAGTAAGAAAAGCTGAGAAGATAGCTCAGGAGGTGGGACAGCCCCAAAGGGGAGAGGACACTGCCCCCAATGCTAGGTGGAACCTGTGAGTGTGGCCTTATTTGAAAAAGGGGTCTTTGCAGATGTAATCAAGTTAAGAATCTCAAGATGCAATTATTCTGTATTTAGGGTGGGCCCTATATCCAATGACAGGTGTCATAAGAAAAGACAGAGGGAGATTTGCAACAGACACAGGGGAGGCCATGTGAAGATGGAGGCAGAGATTGAAGTGATGTGGTCACAAGCCAAGGAACACCAGGAGCCACCGGAAGCTGGGAGAGGCAAGGAAGGATCCTCCCTAGAGCCTTGGTAGGGAGCACAGCCCTGCGACACCTTGATTTTGGACTTACCCTGATTTTGGACTTATGCTGACCAAGCCAACATCTATATTAATCAACGGATACATATTGCTCCTAGTTTTGTTCCTGACCCAGTGTCTTGTCCGTGTCTTTCAAATATTCAGAGTTTGGTGTTTTTCCCCTTCAGCTCTTCTTCCTTCCTGGTTTTCAGATCCTTCCACAAGTTGACACGTTGCACTACTCACACTACAATTTGTCTGAGCCCCTTTGAAATGAGATCCAGAAACTAGATTGTGGGATACAAGGGACTTTATCCTATTACCTCCATCCAAACATCCAGCACATTAGCTCTGCTCTCGATGCCATCTTCATTACCCATTACCACCAGGACAGGCCGCAGCTGTGGACAGCATTAATTGGTGTGGATAAAGTGTAGTGGCAGGGAAATGTATGACAAACCTGTTCAATTCTACAACCTTACAGCTGAGTTTTTTCAAAACTGTAGATTCAAGTAACTTGAAGGTGAATTCACTCCGTAAAAACCACAATAACTGAAACAGAAGAGCTGTCCATAGAGCTGGAGGAGCTGGCCAGGGGTTTGCATCTGGGATGTAATGATTTCAAATCCAGGCTTAAACTATCATGAATTATCCTGGACCATCTGTATCAATTCAGAATAAAGTAATCTGCCAAACCCCTTTCCAACTCCATATTCTAAGTACTTGAATGTTCATCAGAGATGTGATTTGAACTTATCTTTTTCCCACATTTTCTGTGTTTTTATTTGAAGTAAACAATTGGATCAGACTAGAGGGACTCAGATTTATTATAAAGGTTACAGAGTTTCCGCATTATAATAATGTCAAGAAGGTCTCTTCTATAGTCAGGCAAGGAGTATTTCAAGAAAGGATAACTCTGTTTAATATAATCATTAATATATTATAAATAAATATTACTATTGACATCAAATAATGTCTGAAAATGACCACTATAACCGTGGCCCTCGTAGATTAAAATGAACTGAAAAACTCCTTGGCAGAATGTGGTTCTGTCTTCATATAACTGTGGAGATATTGGCTTGGATATATGGACAACCAAGCAATTCCAGGAGAAAGGGCATCTGTACGGTCTAACATGCTGAGGCCTTCCTCCGGCCTCCCAAACGTGGATAAACCAGATATGGCAGCCACGCTTGGCCTCAGTCATCTGGCCTTTCTGAAACTGGATGTCTTTCCCACATACACTCCCCTTTCCTGCCATCTCATGTCCAAGTAAAATGTCATCAACTACAAATTGCCATCGACAAGCTCTCACTGTGGAATGAGAGGCCTATGTGGGCCACTACGAGAAGGCCTTGTATAAAAGGGTTATTTGAAAGAATAACCTGTTGAGGTTTATCATTTTTTTTATTTATTTTTAGAAAAAAGAGGAAATTTACAAGATGCAAAGGTCTCACACAATACATTATCATTGGTGACAGTTCTCTTTACACCTTAACACACAGGCCCTGGCTTGGCCAGTGTTGGGAAGAACATGGACAGCATGAATGCATTTGAGACCCATCGTGGACAAGCAGAAATGAACCACAGTGTGAAAGGAGAACTCGATGACAAATGATGTTGAGCCCACTTGTTCCAAAAGTAAGCCATAGGAACTAACAAAACCTTCTTGTGAGGGAGGTGAGGGAGGTGCAGGTGTCTGCCGGGCACTATCCCTGCCTGGCAGCACGCATCTCCTCCCTTGGACCACAGCAACAACAGAAAGCAGTAATGTTCCTTTGGTGTGTGTTTCTTCTGCAGGGCTCTTCAGGTTCCCAATTTCTTACTTCTGTCTTCCTTTTCACAATTCAGTTCCAGATTCTTAAAGCAGTGTAGGTGCTTAGCATCTTTCATGAATTTTTCAGGATCCAGTTCTGCCAATGATAACGCACTAAAAAGAACAAAGATAAGACACATAACTCAGAAAGGCCCCAATACTTGCCTTCAAATCCTATTAAAAGTACTACTAAGCATAATAAAATAGCTGAAGATATCCTTTTTTCAAGTTCATACAATGAAAATAGCATGACAGGGTTTCACTTTACTGTGAAAAATCTGCCATGTTGTCATGTGTAAATTCAAATGCCTTCTCACCAGAGTTTCAACTTATTAGAAATTCATTCTTAGAGTTCAAAAAGATACCAAACCAAATATCTGGGAATTAAACAAGGCAAAGAGAAGTCACAAGGCAAATTAGAAAACATTTTAAAGTGAATGAAAATGAAAGAAAACAAAAATATAACATGGCAAAATTGAGATACTCACCTAAGGCAGTGCATGGAGGGAAATTCATAGTATTAAATGTTTATACCTTGGTTCTCAAACTTAATTCATTCTGGAAAGCTGTTCAAGAAGCGATTTGTTCAAAAATCGATTCATTTTTTCCCCATTAGAAATAATGTAAGTTGAATTAATCCATACTAGATCCCCAAATGATTCTCCGTTTTAACCTTTCTCATAGACAGTACATGTCTAATATACTGTTTAATCTATACTAATAAAAGGATAATATGCTAATTAGACCGGATAGACCAGATGTCTTCCAGTCATCCTTCCGGACAAAGCCACGGTGGCAGGGGCCAAGGCAGAGGTGGTTAGGGGCAATCAGGCAGGCAAGCAGAGTGGTTAGGGGCCATCAGGCGGGCAGGCAGAGGCAGTTAAGGGGGGATCAGGGAGGCAGGCAGGCAGAGGGGTTAGGGGTGATCAGGCAGGAAGGCAGAGTGGTTAGGGGCAATCAGGAAGGCAGGCAGGTGAGCAGTTAGGAGCAGCGGTCCCGGATTGAAGAGGGTGCAGGCCGGGCTGAGGGACACCACCCCCCTCATGCATAAATTTTGTGCACCAGGCCTCTAGTCTATAAATAAACACTTCTTTTCTTAAATTTATCGAACCACCCCCTACTAGCCTTACACCAATCACTTTTAGTACTCAGTCCAGAGGTGTCTTTCAGGTCAATATGCAGCATCTTTGCTTGTTCATACATCATTGCCTCCGAAATGCTGTCACTGGCTAACTGCTTTTTGTTTATCCAAATCAATAACAGTTTTTCTACCTCTTCATTAGGCTGTGATCATTATTTCTTTCACACCCTTAGCAACATTAGTACCCTTGATGGCCTCTTTATGTTTTAAAATTGAACTAATGGTTGATTTCGCCAGCAACAAAAGCATTCTCTCTTTTATTTGTTGCCTGAGAGACTGAAGTTTGGTTCGACAACCCAGACATTTTTTCTGGGAACAACTTGGTGGAGAACCGAATTGTTGGAGATGGGAGAAATGAGGTTTGACTGCATTAGGAAAGAAGAAAGCTGTCAAGCCAATAACCCGAGTTTTTACCTTAAGGAACTAAAAGAATAAAAGCAAAGTAAACTGAGAACAAGCAGAAGTAGGGGAATAATAAAGACAACAAAAGCAAATGAAATTTCAAACATAAAAACAAAAGAGAAAATAAAAAGATCAATAAAATCGAACAACCTCTTGCCAGACTAACCAGGAAAAAAGAAGACACAAGTTACAAAGTTCAGGAATCAAAGAGGCAACATCAGTAAATATTTTATAGATGTCTAAAGGATAAAAAAGATGTATCTCAAACAATTTTATGCCCACAAATTAGAAAACATAGATAAAATGGACAAATTCCTTGAAAAAAAATACAAAGCCTCAGTTCCAAATCCTTTTAACAATTAGGGAGGCAGAGAGGTGCCAGACTAAAGCATGGGGACGGGGAATAAACTAATCACTTGTTCTTGGGATATTTTCAATACTTCCATGCCTGAGGTATGGAAGGTTCTTTGGTATAAAATATCCAAGTGTCCTGAGTTTCCCTCTGCAATTCTGAGATTGCAACAAAAACCAGCTGGTCTTGTCAAGATTTGTGAGGCAGGTGTTTATCACCCAAGAGTTCAACTAAATCCCAAACCTAACAGAGCAGTTTCTATTCCCTCAGATCTAAATCCCAAGAAACCTGAAACACCAATCAGAAAGGATGTCTGCACCCCTATGCTCAAAGCAGTGCAATTTACAATAACTAAGATCTGTAAACAGCACAAGTGCCCATCAGTAGATGAGTGGGTAAAAAGCTGTGGTACATCTATACCATGGAATACTATGCAGCAGTAAAAAAAAAAAAAAAAAAGGATCTCTTTTCCTTTGAGACAGCATGGAGGGACCTAGAGAGTATCATGCTAAGCAAAATAAGCCAGTCAGAGAAAGACAAGTATCACATGATCTCACTCATCTGTAGTACCTAATGAATAAAATAAACTTATGAACAAAATAGATCCAGACATATAGAAGCATGGAACAGACTAATGAATCTTAGAAGGCAGGGGTGGGTGGGAAGTGATTAACTGGGGAACTTATATGCATATGTGCATAACCCATAGACACAGACAATAGTGTGGTGAAGGCCTGGAAGGGGCGGGGGGCAGGGTGGAAAGGGTCAATGGAAACAAAAGGGGGGACATCTGTAATACTTTCAACAATAAAACTGGAGAGCATTATGCTAAGTGAAATAAGCCAGGAAGTGAAAGAAAAACACCATATGATCTCACTCATTTATGGATAATAAAGAACATTATAACCTGATGAACAAAAAGATAGATACAGAGGCAGAGAAGCATTGAACAGACTGTCAAATTACAGTGGGAAGGCTGGGGAGTGTTGGGGGGGGTGGGGGGGGAGGGGATAAGAGATCAACCGAAGGACTTGTATGCATGCATATAAGCATAACCTATGGACACAAGACACTGGGGGG